GGACACGCGGTTTGACATGATGGCATTTCCAGTGCCCGTGGCGGCATACTGGGGCTGCCAGTCCATATCTCTGAGGCAGATTTGTTCATAATCTAGGACCAATCAGTAAGACAAGGTGAGAGAGAAGCGAGGTAATAACGAACCTTTTACAAACGAGCCCACGTAGACAGCAGTCGGACTGCCTTTCAGGTCTTCCATGCGAAGACCAGCTATATCAGATTAGCACGGAACTATTCGAAAGATTAAGGGCCAACGCACCGTTCTCAAGCGCTTCGTAGGAAACCTCTAGTAGGAATCGCTGTTGAGGATCAATGGCCTTGGCGTCCTCTGCCATGATGGAGAAAAACTATAGAGTGTCAGAAAAAGTGGCATTCCACATCCGGAGGTCGCTGATGGGGACTCACCGACGCATCAAATGCTGCGACATCATCCTTGATGAAATGCGCTCCTCGGAACGAAATCTAGGTGAATAAGGTCAGTCTGAAGATATGACAAAATAATTTGGACGAGATGAGATGAGAACCCACGCTGCCCTGACGATCACCACTTGGATGATAGTAGCCATCGATGTTGAGACGATCCTTGGGGAATTCTGACCAGGCCGACTCCTTCGCAATCAACATCTCCCAAAGCTTCTCCGGAGATGTCGCATTGCCTGGGAAGCGGCATGCCATGCCGACGATGGCAATGTCTTCCATCTTGCCCGCCTCAACGGATTTCGCAACCAAGGTGTTGTCTTCAATGGGAAGTATCGACAGACGAGGTGGTAAGAGGGGAGACGCAAGGCGAAAAGAATCTGACTGTACGAGGGCAGCTCAGACAACAAGATCCTGTCTCCTTTGTGACCGGGTCGATGAGTACAGAAGAAGGAAAGGGTATCAATCGGCTGGAAAACAGGATGGAAAGGGAAGGAAAGAAATCTCTGAAGAATGAAGGTGAAGTTGGGTAGTTGAAAATCTTTTCTGCCACCGGACAGCTGACGGCGGGTGACCAAGGGGGTCCCGGCCTTGATATTCAAATGTGAATATGAGTTGAAGGTGAAATCGTGCTGCCTTTGGTGCCAGAGGCACTGCCAAGTCCATCCACTTATTCCACTCGTATGCGGGGGCGGGAGCATACGGCATGAAGCTTAGAACTTCACCTGGCGGTCAGCATCAATCCTTTGGTGCAGGAATGGCTCTTTGTATTATATGACTTCCAACGTAATTGCATGAATGTCACTCGCTGTGATCAACGGTCTTTGTTTCTTAGGGAATCTTCAACCATCCCTTTGAATGTAGCCATAATACCGTCTAACATAGAAGATATTGGCTCTTCGTATCAAAATCATAAGGGCAACTTCATTCGGTACAGCTCCTCCTCATGCGGCCCTCTTTGGATTGTGGTTCTTCAGAAGCATAGCCCACGGATATCAACGGCTTCTTGCAATTAGACCGACGGCCAAATCAAGAGAAGCTATGAAGACGGGAAGAGGATAGAGCTAGTTGCTTGAAATAGAACAGGGATGGGGCGCAGCCCACTTTGGCATGCAATCAGCCCTAGGGGACCGCAAGAACATCTCCAACATGGCATAAAGTTATGTACGTAGGAGAACAACAACCACCGATCCTGGAATCCTTCCGCTGGACGCTGGTATGGCCCTCATGGGCCATCTCTTTACCGCATGTTGCAAACAGAACTTTTGAGGAGCACCGATGCTCCGACTCCATTGCAGGGGGGATGACGGGAGTAGCACATATTCCTTCCCTGGATCGATAAAGTATCAGGCTGGCGTGTGCTCCAGTGGTTGTTAATGGTTGTAGGACAGCCGGTGGAAGAGATTTGGCTAGAAGATAGATCCCGAGTCAGTGCCAACCTGTCACGATGTTCGTGCTCGTTTTGCCACGACTACTGATTGCCAATGGTGCCCTGCTCTGAGGGGCTGTACGGAGGGTTTACGGTATGACCCGGGCAGAGAAAATGCATAACACAGTCAATTTGACCCGTTTCCTCGTGGTGGTGCCCAATCCTCAGGAGGGCCTGGATCGCCAGGCGCGCGGTCTCGGTGCGAGTACAAAAAAGAGAAGCGGATGAGACTGGTTAGAAGAGGCCGAGCGATCTGATTTCCGACGATGAGAAGACCGGGGAGCTTTGACAAACCACGATGGAGCAGCTAACCGGTTATTTCTGATCATTTCGTTGGGCGGGGACGTTGACGTGTCGAACAAGGTTGGTGGCATTGACAGGAGTGTAGCTCGCCCAAGGACATTGTGCAGTACTCACCGACGCGGCCGTACATATGAAGGTCCGATGTTCCGGAGACTTGGCGCCAACTTGATGTTAGTTTCGTGCTGCTCTCCGTTCCAAGAGTCTCTCGAGCGGACTGGCCTCTCATCGACCTCTCAAAGAAGTTGAAATCAGATCTCTGGGCGATGATATTTACAATGTGTCAGACCGACATTGTCGTAAGTGTAGCGTGTTTTCATATGCAGGAACCCATTTGAGATATGTTGGCTCCAGGCTTCCACCGTCGTTGAATGGGGAACATCGAGCATAGCAGAGAATGAGACCAAAAACGTCGTTCACGAGGACAGGGAAATATAGATAAACATCGCCTCCTGGGAATTGGCCTGAGAAGACTTGTAAATGGAACATTAAGTATGAGATTATGCCTAATGAAAAGAACGTCAACCGGGTACAGTTATCGTATCATGGGCTTGCCAAGTTTCCACTATAGGCACGGATGAAGTCCAGTTCAGTCCCGTTCATACCACACCTCAGAGGCTCAGCCAAGGGCATCTCGGACCGAACATATTTTCCGCTCCGACTTCACACACGAAGTCAGGGATCTTTCATGGCTCGAGCGCCTCCATTCATGCTGCTCATTGTTACTTTCATTCCCTTTTGAAGTTGATCATGCCTACACACATCCAACCATCTCATAGGATCTCATGTGATCTCATGTGGCGGAATGTCCATTGAGAGGCCGCACCATCTCGATTGACGAAACACTCAAAGCCTGTACGACAGTTCAAAATGGAGCTGAGTTGACAGTGAAATTGACACAACGAGACCATTTTGCCCAGTCTGGCCAATCGAACCATTTTGGGACCGACTTGATGTTCCACAAGCAGGTGTACAACCCTCATCAATCAAGACGAGGGGAGTTCGACCCCTAGTATCTGTGATACACACCATCTGGGCAGGCCAAAGCGCTTCAACATGCCTCTCTTTACAGATCCCCCAGTTTTTGACAAGGATATGCTGCCGAAAACGTTGTCGCCCAGCGCTGCAGCAACCATTGAGGGAATGCCAGGCGAGGTCGTACACGGGCCGGACCAAAAGTTGTTCGGCTAAGCAGCGTGGCCCATGACCTCACTTCGCAGCTCTCAAGCTTTCAAACGAGCGACCTTTCTTCCATTGCGTTTTTCAACTGATGGATTGAACACAACATTTGAAAATGCAGAGTCGGGTGCTGGTGGCCCTCTGCGCATCTGTTCCTATCCAAGTGGGTAGGACGATGGCGACTCAACCACGAGGCATCTGGGAACACAACGTCCCAAATGGGGCGTGCAGAGCTAGTGGTGCAGACGGGAGGTCGGTCGGGGATACACAGATCCGGTAGGCACTTCGTTTTCCTGCTGCGATTTCCTCTCTCTTTTCGTCTTGTTACTCTGAAAATACAGAGCTGAATGTACACAAGGTAGTACTGTCGGATTCTGGCATCAACCGGAGACAGCCAGTCGATATTCCGTTGCACCGGCTCAGAGTCAAACCGTGTTGCTTGATATAAATTTCCCCCACCCCAGTCGGGGACTTGAGTGGCTTATTTACGAAATACCACGGCCTCGAATGCTGAAGAGTCCTGGGGTTTGTACAACAACGGGACCTGTTTCTGTCACCCTAGTGGCAGCTCTTCTATTTCTGAGAGACTAGCAATTGGGACATTTGCCTGACACATCCTACCAATGGCTTGCCTTCTCCCCTCTGATGGGATGCGCAGTCACCATCTTGCCCCTGGCTTTTCCTCGGCCTCCATTCTCAAGCAAGAAAGCCTTTGTCTTGGAACATGATGTTTTCGTCACCACAGCCGAGCGAGACCAGGGCACAGGGCACGCGAACAACTGCCACAACTATGCTTCACAGTCTTGACGCTTTCAAGTTGTTTGTCCTACCTTGCACAGCACCCGTCATTGTCCGTGTCTTCGCCTACCCAAGGTGGAACTGTCAGAGAAGATCTCATCTTCACCCTGGCATAGGCTGGACGAGCAAGCCTCTAGGAAAACCACTGTCTCGGGCATCATGGATAGGTGCATCTGGTGCTCTTCTTCTACTGTCAACACGAGGGTAAAGAGCTGCGGTCAGTATAACTATGTGTTGCGGCCACTGTCCAAGTTGGAGAGGATGGGCAGCTGTTTACCTCGTTTGTTCCTTGCTGCCGCTCAAGTCCTCACACCAAAGAGGGATGTGTGTTCACACATACACACGCACACACGTACCCTCAAAGTGTTCCTTTCCTCCTCACACCACCTGCCTTGTTGTTGCATCGTCGAGGTAACCAACAGTTCAATTACCAGCCAAGGCCCACGTCTACCTTCCTCGACCAACTCTGCAAAGGCCCTCAGGACAGGCAGGTACAAGGCTGATCACTGTCTTGTTACTGGTTCTCTTTCCCTATCCATCAGGGAAGACAAGCTAGCCCCTATACCAATTGAGGCGAGAGCAGCCAGGTATCCTCAGAAACCTTCCTCAACCAGATTTCCTTGACTCAAACGCCTTCTCTCCCCATATCACACCCACACAATCCCTCTCTTTCTCCTCTACTTTTCAGAAAACCTTTGCCTCATCGCCATATCTCTTCGAGACAAGCTAAAATCAAGCTTCGAATATTGCCATCGGTAAGATTCGAAGGCGTCTTTCCATCTTCTGCCCCTGAGAGGAGAAGACAACTGTCAACCTTGCTCTATTCCGCTCTGACGACAAAAAAACCGCCGCCAACCATTGTCAAGATCATCGCAGCAATGGCCGCCCAGTCTCCCTCTCGTCGCGAGATGGCTGACCAGCTCTCCTACCCCAATCCGTCTCTGGGCGATACCGCTGGCTTCGCTGTCGCGAATTTTGCTCCCCGTCGTGGCGCGGAGTATCCCGCTGCCAGCCTTCGCCAGCCTACGATTGAGAGAGTCTTGATCGTCTTCAGGTAAGGGAATTGCAGCGTTCTCGCGAACCCAGCTGACCAGATAGCCTTCTCGTTGGCTTGTTCCTCGCTACTCTCGATACGTCCATCATTGCCACTTCCCTCATTGCCATCTCTGAGGAGATTGGCGACCACCAGCACGCTTCCTTTGTCCTTCTGGCCTACCTTCTCACCTACATGGGCTGCGCTGTCGGAATTGCCAAGTGCAGTGACATTTACGGTCGCCGAACCATGCTCTTCTACAGTTGGGCCGTCTTCGTCATCTTCTCGGCTCTGTGTGCGGGCGCGAAAAGCATGAAGCTCCTGATCATCGGCCGCGCCTTTCAGGGCGTCGGAGGCTCAGGCTTGTACAGCCTCGCCCAGACCTGTCTGCTTGAGCAAGGTCCTGCCCACAACCCAGCTCTGATGGGCGGCATCATCGGAATCACTCTCGCCGCGGCTTTCCTTTTGGGCCCCATCTTGGGCGGTGTCATTGTCTCCAAGATTACTTGGCGCTGGATCTTTGGACTCAACATTCCCATCGGTGTGTTCGCTGTGGCCTGCCTCGTCTTGTCCTACCCCAAAGACCGACAGGCCTTCAAGATTTACTCTTGGACGGCATTCAAGAAGCTTGACGTGGTTGGTATGACCACTCTCTTCTTTGGCTCGGCCTTTCTGGTTGTCGCTATCGAGCGTGGTGGATACACATACTACGGTTGGGACCACTGGACCGTCATCGTCATGTTCGTGTGCTCTGGGGCTTGCTGGGGTATCTTTGGCATCTTCGAGAACTACCTTTACCGAAATCGCTGCCTCTTAATCGACCATCTGCGGTGCTCGCATCAAGAGCCTGTCTTTCCGGTACATCTTGCTCGACGCCGGCCCTTCATGTGCGGCTTGGCCGTTACCTTCCTCACAGGACTCCCCTATGTTGCCCTCACCGTCATTATCCCGGAACGCATGCAGGTGATTGCGCAGAAGAGCCCTCTCCAGTCCGGCATGTACCTGTTGCCTATGCTTGGAGCCTGCGCAGTTGGATCGTTCGTTGCTGGAGCGGTGAACTCCAAATCGAACAAGGTGGCTCTCGTCATGACTGTCGCGTCGATTGCGCAAGTCCTCGGTATCAGTCTTATGCTTATGGTCGTCGACGCTCAGGCGGACTTTGCTCCTGCGTACGGATTCACGCTCGTTTTCGGACTGGGCGTCGGCCTCAACTTTGGCTCCACGACCATTCTCTCTGGCGTCGAAGCGGAATCGACTAAGGAACACGCCGTCGCCCAAGGAATTCTCGCTCAAGCTCGCGCCCTCGGCGGTTGTCTTGGTGTCGCCATCTGCACTGCTATGTTCAACGCGCGCGTGGAAATTCTCCGTGATCATCTTTCTCCGTCTGAACGCGAGACTCTGGCCCACTCTCCAACCCAATCTTCCGCGTGGAACTCGCACCTCAGAAACCTCGTCAAGCATGTCTACACAGACTCCTTCAGAGACCAGACTATCTTCATGATCGCCGCCTGCGCCATAATGGTGGTCGCCGCCGTCTTTACTTGGGAGAAGGAACCTAGATCCATCACCCTTCTCACAGGTCATGCGCAGCAAGCCAATAAGACACGCCTGCAGCAAGAAGGCAACGACCACGACGGCACCGAGATGAGCGACATGGCCAGTGTTCGCTCTGGTCACTCAGCCGCCTCGGCTACTGTCCACGGTCGCACAGCCTAGACTTCATGGTCAACGCATTGTCCAACACGGTCATATAGCTTCATGGGAATATCCAATTTCAGGGAATCGGAAAACCAGGATCTGCTTCTTTCAGGGAGTTACAAGGCGTCAACCGGGGGGGCATCGGCTAAGGAATAGGGAGGTATTGTGCTTTCGCGCTCCTATGCGCTCTTATTCTCGTAAGCATTTCGGACAGGCTTGGTCGCAAGCGTCCAACTGCATCATGGTTTAGGAACTTTCTGGTGTATGTAGAGTAGTTTTCGCCTCCTTCAAGGCGGTTCAAAGTTTCGACAAAAGACAGACTGTTCACTATCAATACTCTTTTCGCGCTTCTTGTGATACGTCATGCGGGCTGATTGCATTGATACCATCAAATATTAGTAGCATTTCCATGGATCTGACATGAGCGGGTTCGGGTGGATGCGCCTAATGGAAAGAGATACGCAGCTTGTCCCCACCGGTTCAGATTTTGAGGCATGTGCGTCTCGCGATGCGAATCTAGCATCGAAAAGTGACTAATTCAACGGCGCCGCCGCATAAGGTCTTTTTCAAAATAGAAGAATTTGATACTCATCTCCCTGACCAGCCGGCATTTGTCCCACATCCATCGAGATCAGAGATATGAGTCACTGAGGGGCTTTCATCTTCAGACAAGAGCGCACAACTCGCCTTCTGCCTCGTGCTTTTTTTTTCTGATTTTCCATTCAGGCGACCAAGACATGGCTCGTGTCAACAGTGTGACGGCGGTTGTGTGTGGTGGTTTGGCGCGTGGATGTGGACGTGGACGTGGACGGGAGGAGAAGTGGTTTTGAGACGTTGTCTTTGATTCGGTGAGTTGCTTACTTGGGGGATGTACGGATAGAAGGAGAAGGGGAGGGGAGGGATTTGGGATTTGGGATTTTGGAACCGAGACAATGGTTCCTGCGCGCGGTCTCTGTGTGTGACACCTATTTCTTGTAACTAGAGCACGGATTTTGTCGCGGAGGGCTTGCGAGATGAGAAGAACGAACAAGTGGTTCGTTTCGAACCCTGACTATTTTCAAAATTTCCGACCCTTATTGCCCTTACTCATGTTGTAAACTTGACTGGATTTGCTTGACTCTTTTTTCAATTTTCCTTTTTTGCAGAACTAAAGTACCGTTTAAAAAGAATTCGAATAAAGTCTCCCTTGAATTGTAATGATCGGCTCAGGCTGCCACCCTCGAACGCTATGGCTTTTCCTAGGCCGACAACGAAACGGCCGGCCGGAAAAGGGCGTCAAACTTGAAAGTTTGAGAAGAGGAAAAGGGATTGGGTTTGAAGATGGGGCGACTTTTCCCCTCTCTCTCTGGAAATACCTACCTTTCCGTGTACGCAGTACGTTATTACTCCATCTTCCGAGCTATGGCACTTTTTTCTTCTTCTTCACCTTTGCTTTGCTTTGATGTACAGAGATCGCACCGTGGCACCTTACACCCCCCATCCCTGGAACTCAATGGGAGAACCAACGCAGCCAACAAAAGGACCAAGGACGAAAACGAGGCGAAACTCCCCAAAAGTGCAGCGCTCGAACCCTTCCTCTCAGCCTCGCCAGCTTTGCCCAAGAGCCCCGTCTCATCTGGTCTTCCCTAGACCCCTCCTCCTCCTCTCACCTTGTCCTCATCGAGTTAAGTGGTGCCTTATTATATGCCCCCTCGCCCTCCACATTGAATTGCGCGCAAGAAAGCCGTTGGCAGAGACCAACGAACGACAATCGGCGCCCAACGGGTGGATACTTCGGTTCCCTCGTCATGGAAAGGGTTTGCTTCGATCATTTATGCGCAAGAGTACACAGGCTACTTCCTTGTATACGTTGGTGAGCTGGGCGGAAGTTGGGTGGTCGGCTTGCTTTTTGCACCTCAGCCAGTTGACTTGGTTCTCCATTGCACTTACACGTGTCAGACCCGTTGCGAGCAGGGCATATACTGGTATTTTCATGCTGATGGAGGTTGCCGGGTTGGGCACAAGATCGCCTTTCGCGTTTGAATTTCATTCGCCAAGTCACTCTGAGCTTTCCCTTTCGGATATCCATTCATACGTGTTAGAGATTGCATGTTGGAAGATGAAAAAATGTCGGAAAAGAGGATGAGCCGAAACTCGCTCCTCATCGTCAATCGACAATTGGGTAATCAGTACTATGTAAATACCATATCCGATCCGGATCTCCGTGGTTAGTCGCCGAAAAGGACAACCCCTCCATCCCGCCTCATCCCGCCTCATCCCTGCGTGGTGGAGTCATCGATACCCCCCTGTCCCCCGGACTCAAAGCGGGGAGGGTAGACCTGAAGGGGGGCGGCCTGGACCCGAAAATGGACAGATCCGGACCGCGGCGGCCGTCAAGCTAGGTACGTCCTCGACTCCCCAACTTTCTCCATCGGTTTTCGCTGGCGCAAGTTCCCACTAAAAATCGCCCGTCGGCGGTCGCCAATCTCATCATTGCCGGCAGCCTACACACCTACGCCTACGTACCTTACCTTGACCACCATCACCGCACATCAAATCTCACTCATCGACACACCATAGCGATCACACACACATACCTTACCTCCCACATCCGCACACATCCATACACACCCACCTACCTACCTATATCCCGACCGTTGGCCCGGGCCAGCCTCATACCACAGCTTCACATCACGCTCACGACACTATCGTTTGATCACAGATTCACAGCCCCTCTCTCCTCCCCTCCTCCCCTGCTCTCTGCTGCCCTCCCCCTACACCTCTACACCTTACACCTTGGTTACCTACACCTCATCCAGCTGGAGCAACCAACCGTCAAGCCCCTCCTCCTCTTACTGTCTCTCTCCTCCTCCGCCGGCATCCATACATCCCTCCCCCCATCCCATGACGCGCATCTCCTCACGAGACCAGGAAGTCTAAAGCCCAATCCCGTCCATTTGATACAACTAACCTGAATCGCCCCCGTTTCTATTACCTGTGTGCCCTCTCTTTGCCTTCTCGCCCTACTTTTGAGTTCCTTTACTTACCCCCTCCCCCCTCCTCCATCGTTCCATCCTTTCTCCGTTCGCCGTCTTTCCTCTCCTTACTTTCATCTTTTACATCAAATACCCATCCGGCAAAACTTCTTCCTCTTTTGAACCAAGTTTTTTTGTGATACCGGCTTGATTTTCTCCATCCATCATTATACCCAGAGATACCCCCCCAGAAAAGAAGTCCGTCAGTAACAGTAATCATCAACAATGGAGGCCATACGCCAAAGAATCACCATCCCGGACTCGATCAAGCAGATCCCCGACCAGCTCAAGCCCAAATCGCCAAAGGCCCTCGACAAGGGCACCGACTCCATCCCCACCTCCCTGACGCCCACCCCCGTCTCCCCTCCCCTCGCGACCCCGTCCCACGGCGACGTCGGCGCCGTCCTCACCATCGCCTGCGCCACCCCCATCGCCGCGAAGCCCACCGCCGTCCTCGCCGCTGTCCTCAACCCGGCAACCTACCCGGCCTGGAACACCTTCGTCCCCAAGGCCACCGTCTCCCGCCCCTCCGGCCTCGCCGTCCCGCCCATGCTCGCCGACTCCGCCGCCGCCAAGAACCAGCCCGGCGAGCTCCTCCTCGAGGGCACCCACGTCACCTTTGAGGTCCACATGACGCTCGACCCGGCAAAGACGACCACCAAGCAGGCCCTCGTCGTCACCAAGCTCGAGGAGTACACCCACGCCGCGCCCTCCACCGCCGTCGCGAACGGCGAGACCCAGCCCGTCCACCGCGGCCGCAAGGGCTACCGCGTCTGCTGGAAGACGGGCGGCCTCGTGCCCCCCTTTGTCCTGAAGTCCGAGCGCGTCCAGGAGTTCCTCGAGACCGAGGACGGCAACGGCACGGAGTACCGCTGCTGGGAGACCTTTTACGGCCCCCTCGCCCAGGTCCTCCGCTTCACCATGGTCGGCCAGCTCGAGACGGGCTTCGCCGCCTGGATGGAGGGCCTCAAGAACTTCTCCGAGGGGACCCTGACGCAGCCCCCTGCTGCCCCCGCTACCGACGCGGCTGCCACGACTGCGGCCTCGACTACGGCGCCCGCGACTGCTCCGGCTCCCGCCCCTGCTGTTGCCGCCGCTTCGTGATCGTTGTGGCTTCGCGTGTGTGCGTGTTTGTGGTCTTTGTCTGTTTTCTCTTGTCGATTTTGTCGGTGATGCGGCTTATTTCCTTATCTCATATCCCGGGCTGTAAGTGGTTTTTGTTGCAGAGCCGATTGTCAATCGTCAGCTCTGTAAGAGAAAAAAAAAAGAAATGGATAAAAAACAATGGTTCGAGGCAACAAAGGTCAACTGAAGATGAGGGGAGGAATTGATGATTGTGTTTCAGGATTGGAGGGGAGGAATTCCATGTATGCAAAGTAGCTTGATACCTGTCCATAACCGGCAACAAGGAGTTTTTGACATTTTCTTCTGGAAAAACTTTCTACTACACCAGAGAGACACGGGGAAATCACTGGTTTCTCTTTTCGACCCTCAATGGGTTCCCCTTGACAGGCAACCATCCCGAATACCCTCTGGATTTCCCTTTGACCCAGGGCCTCCTTCAACCGCCACAAAAAAACACATCTACAAGACGGAGACGGCCTCAGGCTTGAAGTAGACGGACATGACGCCGCCGACGGTGAGGTTGCCCTTGACAAAGGACTTGAGAACGCCGTGAGCGGCGCACTCGTCATCGTAGTACTTCATGTCCTCGAGCGAGGCGAACTCGGTCTTTGCGACAATGGTGAAGCCCTGGGCTCGCGGGTCGTCGACGGCCGGTCCGACGACCATGGAGAGGATGTACGGCTTTCCGTCCTGGTGGATTTTCGTCAGTATTAGTCCTGTTTTTTTTTTTGGGAGTGTGGTTTCATAAAAAGCCGAATGGTAAAGCCGTAGAAATATGGAAATCCAACATGCGCTTTCTCTGTCCGTCTTTCGAAACCGCCCAGGAAACCGTCGTCGGCGCGGACAAGCTATGGTGGGGCCGAATTACGGGTGCCGGGA